AGCTGACTGTGCATGGAAGGTACTAACGGATTACCTTCCATGACCATACTCACTTCTAAACCATTTTTTTCTATTTATATACCCACTTCTAAACACAAGTGTTTTTAGCGAAAAAAAAAACACCCAGCTCATACTTTCGCAACCAGTGAGCACATCCGGGCGATGCATTTTATTCAGCTTTTTCCAGTATTTGGCTTTGAATACAAGGACCTGTGAAAAAGTAAATAAATGCTACACACTTTTAAACCAAAACATTGATAAATGACTACCCACTTCTAAACAAAATAACGTGAAATGGCGGCACATACCCGTATTGCACTTCTATGCAAGTAGCCCCCTGGGTATACCTGCTATTAGACGCGAGTTTTATGACACCCCCCCCCCCCCGGAGTTAACAAGCTTGCTAGGTTCAAACATTCTTTTTTGCTACATTTTACCGCCATCCAATAAACTTATACTAGTATGTCAAATTTGTTTTGAGGCAGCTTACAATTTTATTTTACTTAAATTTTTCTCTCTTCAGTTTAAAACAGTTGTACATTGTATTTTGATAGAGCAGTAATTATTTTCTCATCTTCACTGGTCAGGATCTTTTTTATCTATTTGATGTTGTATTTATAAATTGTTCTGTTTCGCTTATGAGGTAATTTCTCTCACTCATGTATAGTTTACATTTAATCAAGAAATATTTGATTTCCCCCTTCATCACAGACTTGGCAATGTGTCCCTCAGGTCAATATTGCTGTATCTGTCCATTTCTATATTTAAAACATGTGCACTTAATCTTAATTTTGCCAGTGATGTAGGATTTTTAATTATGTTCAGGTATTTATCAAATTTTAAATTGTTTTTTAGCAGCCTATATCTACGAAGTTTATTTTTAGGATTAAATACCCTTATTATCATAGTGAAACGGTGAGCTACTAGAATATTGCAAAACTGCTGGTTGGGTCTCGTGAGTTTTCTGATTTAGACTATGTTTTCGCTTGACTGGCTTCTGGCAAGATGAGCTAGTTTCAGAAGAGAAATATATCATTTTATACAGGGATACCTTTAATGAAATTTTGATATACTCATTTATTCCTTTTGATATACATTGTTGAAGGTTTTCAGAGATATTGTAAATATTCTTAACTGATGAGGATAATGCAAACATCAGTGCACAATTATTTTATGCAAGATATTTTGTAAACAAAAATACATGTACGAATATTTTCTAGCCCACCTAACTTAATTTGGCAAATACTGTGCCTGAGTTCTTTAACTGCTATTCCATCACCTATGTTTGGATAATCAGTGAGTTTAGAAACTGGATTTAGTAATTCTTCATGGAGCAAAATCAAAGTCTTGTATCCACCATTTTGTAATGGGTTTCAAAACATGAGATTCAGGGACATATATATAGTGTTGGGTTCAGTGAGATTTTGTGATACTGTCAGTACAAACTACTAAGATTCAAGTGAGACAATACACAGATTCGTGCTAGATTCTGATCAGGAAATTGAAAAAAATCATACAGGTTACAAGCTGCCTCGTTTACATATAGTTGTGATTAGCTTGCTCCTGGAGTGGAAATCAAACAGCAATGCATGAGACTTATTGTAACGAAAACAATAAATAACTCTTGACCAGTATAAGTGGTGAATGCCATACCTTTCAGATTTGATTTTTGGCCATGTTATTAAAAATTAAAATTTCAACTAATTTTTACTGACAATACAACTTTAAAGCGCAGTGGTCGTCGCGCAGCGGTGTTCAAATTTCATGTAAATAAACAATGTATTTTACACGCGTTGTATACGTTGCTATGAGTTCCATATTGAACATGACACAGCGCAACGACTGCCGCCCTTTAAGAATGTCAGATTGCTTCGAGTTTCTTTCAAAGCAAGACCTTTTTTTCATCATAGTAATTTTAATATCAGTATATCATTATTTATGTAGAAATATTGAAGAAAGGTGGGAATGCTGCTGATGCTGCTGTTGCCGTGGCAGCAGCTTTGAATGTTACAGAGCCTTGTAGTACCGGAATCGGTGGTGATTGCTTTTGTCTTTTTTATGATGCTAAGTCTAAGACAGTTCATGGACTCAATGGCAGGTATGAGCAAATTTAAACAAGTTCATACCTTTAAAGAAAACATCTATATTTGATATACATGCTTACTATGTGGCTCATACATGCAATGGACAACTATTTTCTGACAAAATCGTAAAAACAAAAATTTCTTGCACAAACTTTTAAAAATAGGCAATGGCTCAGAATCTTTGACAAATTTAGATAGAGAATTGTATTCTTTCAATACCTTTGTGTCTGAATACATCATATAATTCTCTTTCTTATTCATTGCCAGTTGTACAATAATCACTAAAATTGTCATCCATATATCTGACATACCACTGATGGCCAGTAAAGGTATATTGGTTTATTGATTTATTGAAACACTTAAAATTCCTCAGAAGGAATTAAAATGGTTACACTAACTGCTAAAACACATATATAAAACATACAAATTTTACAAGAATTACTGTCTAAAGCACAACAATTAGTAAAGGATTCATTTGAAACATGAAATCCTGCGTTTATTTGTATGCATGAGACCACAGTCAGCTGGCGCACAAATGCGGTATTTACTATATGGGGGTCGCCGTCTTGAATACAGTTTGAAACTAAATAAATTGATACGTTGTGAAACATGTTTTTCAGATTCTTACAAATCAGGAAAAATATACCAATCTTTCACAGCCAAAAGTTTCATGGCGTATTCAAGATGGCAGCCCCCATATAATAATTATAGCATTTGTGCGCCAGCTGACTGTGCATGAGACGGTGAACCAACTGCCAACAAGCAAACAGGTAGCTGAAGTAATATGAGAGTATCGTATTATTGCACAGACTCACATTTTCATTATTTTCATGTTTTTTTAAATAATTTTACTTTTTGTGTGATTCAATGTTTTTTAGCGGCCGATCCCCAAGAGACATGTCACTAGAAATGTTGAATACTAGAGGTTACAATGCAGATAATCCGATTCCAGTGCAAGGTGCACTAGCTGTGACAGTACCAGGGGCTGCGGCAGGGTGGCTTGATACTATTGAGAAGTTTGGGAGTAAAAAGGTATCAATACGATTTAATAATGTACAAATACCAACTTTAAGTTTGAATATTTGTGAGTGACCAAATGTGACAAATATATAATATTTTGTGTGTGAATCATCATTTGTTTCACTGATCTGTTTTCTTGTTATTGAGTTCTGTTACAGATTCATAAAATTGAATTAATCCAACTTTTTAATGACTAGTGAAGCATATTCAAATTGTATCTGTGTACTAGTGAAGCCTATCCAAATTATATCTGTGTAATGACCAGTGAA